GGCACATCCCCCTGGGAAGACTGGCATTCTTCAACTCAACTGTTGAAGAATGAGCTAAGTTTCCCTGCACTTTTTTCTCACCTGAGTCCAAACAGCCTTTAACTGGTCTGTTGGTCTCCCACCTCAAGCTCCCTCCCCTCGCACCATACTACAGCTGGATCAAGCCTACTCCTCTGATTCAGACCTCTCAGGGGGTGTCCTCATTACCTGCAGCTCAAATCAGGGTCAAGGGCCAACTCCCAGCCTGGCAGGTACCAGGAGCTCCACCCTCTGACCTCAGCCCGTTTCTGCAGCATGGCCCGCAGCACTCCCCCAGCTCCCGGGAAGCTTTCATTGCTCTACCCCCTTGGGGGTCCGGCTTTTTGTTTTAAGAGCACAACCCTTCTTTTCCATAGACAAGAGCCTCCACGTATAAAGCAAAACAAGCAGAGCAGTTCCAGTGAAAGCCCCAGGGCTCCCGAGAACTGCACCCAGAAACCACTTCTCCAGCTCTCCCTGCAGCTACACCCCATTTCCTGCACAGTCCTAGCTCCTCACCTTGGGGTGCGCTGGTGCTGGTCTGCTGCTGCCTGGGTTCCCCGTCACCTCCCCCCACCCCCACTCCCTGGCCTGCAGATCACCTGTGCTGTGCTTAGTCGCTCAGTCGTCTGACTCTTTGTGACCCCATGGGCTGTAGCCCACTGGGCTCCTCTGTCCATGAGGATTCTCCAGGCAAGAATACTGGAGTGGGTTGGCATGCCCTGCTTCAGGGTATCTTCCCAACCCAGGGATCAAACCCGGGTCTCCCACATTTCAGGCAGATTCCTTACTATCTCATCGTTAAAATTACATCTCAAGAGTCATTCTTGGGGCTCTCACAGCACACTAGGTTGAAACTGTCTGCTCCCCATCACCTGTGGGTGCTTCAAGATCCACCTCTGCACCCAGGACCAGGCTCTGTGGGTTCGAAACGGACGCATGAGGAAGGGCCCAAGACATATATACACGACTCCATACAAAATGCATAACTAATGAGAACCTACTTTATACCATAGGAAACTCTATTCAGTGCTCTGCGGTGACCCAGATGGGAAGGAAGTCTAAAGAGGAGGGGATACGTGTATTCAAAAAACCGATTCACTTTGCTGAGTAGCAGAGACTAACACAACACTGTAAAGCAACTATACTCCAATAGAAATGAATGAAGAGAGGAGTGAATGAGGCTTCAGCCACGGAAGAGAGACTCTACAGACCCTCTTCTGGGGGAGGACGTGAAGGCGTCAGATGCAGGACCGGGCAGTGAGAAGGAGCCAAAAAAGGGGAGTCCAGAGAAAGACAAATATCATATGATACCATTTATATGTGGAAGCTAAAAACATGGTACAAATGAACTTATTTACAAAACAGAAATAGAGTCACAGATGTAGAAAACAAGCGTATGGTTACCAAGAAGGACAGTGGAGAGGGATAAATTGGGAGGTTGGGACTGACATATACACATGACAATATATAGCACAGATGACGAAAAATGACCTACTCTATCGCACAGGGGACTCCATTCAGCGCCCTGCGGTGACCTGTATGGGAAGAGAGTCTGGAAAAGAGTGGATCTACATATACATGTGGTTGGTGCCCTTTGCTATGCAGCGGAAGCTTACAGCATTGTAGATCAACTATGCTCCAATAAAAGAGAAACGGGAGAAGAGTCAGGATTCAGTGAAGGAATGCAGACTTCATGGGGAGGTGGGGGCAGGACTGGGTAAAAAGGCCCAGGAATCAGATGGGAGAAGGGTCTCAGTAGGAGGGGCACTCAGCATGAGGCGTGGTGAGAGCAAGTGGGATCCCCATGAAGGGCAAGAAGGCCAGGGGAAAGGGGGTCAGGAGAGGACGAGGGGCAGTGAGGGTGAGTGGAGAGAGGGCTCGGGAAGGGGAGGGGTCCTCGTGAGTGGGACGGGGTGGGGAATGCTCTGCCAGGGCTCAGGACTCACCGCTGCACGTCTCACCTCCTACAGGGACACCATCACTCACAGCTGAGACCATACGCTTCTGGACTCAAAACTGGTGTGTGGTTCTAGATCAGAGCTCTATCAGGTGACTTCTGGTGGTCCCACCAGCATGCAGTCACACAATGACAGAGTTGACAGACCTGAGGCTTGTATATACAGCAAGCGTACCCCTGCCCCCCAGGCTGCCCACTACCCTTGCATGTGGTGGGGACCAGAGCAGCCACACACGCTGTCTCCATCCTTTCATCCCTCCCCTAACTCCCCTGGAAACTCTGGGGCAAAATGGCCCACAAGTTGTTTATACAACAATGACATGCATCTAAAAAAGAATGGATGTATGTACATGTATAACTGATTCATTTTGCTGTACCCCTGAAACTAACCCAACATTGTAAATCAACTATATTCCAATAAAAATTGTTTTAAATGACATGCATCCCACTATAACCCTATATGCAAAACAGAAAAAGAGACTCAGATGTATAGAACAGACTTGTGGACTCTGTGGGAGAAGGCGAGGGTGGGATGTTTCAAGAGAACAGCATCGAAATATGTATATTATCTAGGGTGAAACAGATCACCAGCCCAGGTTGGGTGCATGAGACAAGTGCTCGGGCCTGGTGCACTGGGAAGACCCAGAGGGATCGGGTGGAGAGGGAGGTGGGAGGGGGGATCGGGATGGGGAATACATGTAAATCCATGGCTAATTCATTTCAATGTATGACAAGAACTACTGTAATGATGTAAAGTAATTAGCCTCCAACTAATAAAAATAAATGGAAAAAAAAAAAAAAAAATAAATGACATGCATACCAGCCATACAGAGCTTCATATTTCACAAATGTTTCACAGTATGTCTATTATCTCATGTAACCCTCACTGTATTCCTGTACAATCATACTTGCAGTTTTATGGTTACAATTTCATGAGTATTGCCTAGCAACGTCTAGGTTCCCAAGAGCGTTACCAAGAGGGACAGTGGGGAGAGGGATAAATTGGGAGATTGGGATTAACATATACACACTACTATATATAGCATAGATAACAAATTATGACCTACTCTATAGCACAGGGAACTCTATTGAGTGCTCTGTGGTGACCTGTATGGGAACAGAATCTGGAAAAGAGTGGATCTATGTATACATGTGGTTGGTGCACTTTGCCATGCAGTGGAAGCTTACAGCATTGTAGAGCAACTATACTCCAATAAAAATTAATTTAAAGAAAAGAAGAGAAGAGTCACCCCTCTCTGAGCCTCTGTCCATTTTGGACCCTCGTTGCACCCTGAGTCTTACCCACCTCTCCCTCTGTCCTTGCATCTCACCATTAAGGATGTCTGTCACTCATACTGCTTGGTAATAAACACTGGGCTACCTGCTACCAAGGCTGTGGGATGTGGCTGTACCAAAAGTGGAAACATCGAAATGACTGCATTTGATTGGCTGTTGCTGGGAACGGCCCATTCTGATGGCCAGGCCAGTACTTTTTTTTTTCCTAAGTACAAAAGATGAACCCAGGTCTCCTGACTCTCTGGTGTAGGTGAGTGTGTGGCTCAGCAGTGGAAGTGTGACCATTAATGCACATCACATGATGGTGAGTGGCCTCTCTCGTTTTCTCTCTCCTCTCGGAAATAGAGGAGACTGATTATAAATCGCTAAACCGCATCTGGCCGGTGGAGACCAAAATACTGGCTGCAATAGACGAGAAGGGAGGAAAATCAAGGCCTCGCTGCTGATTAAACCTAACCATCTCTAATTGTTTGTTAAGCTGGGGATTTTCAGCTTCACCAGTTCCCTGAGCGTCTCTCTCTGGGTTGGATTCTGGCCTCGGCCACTCCCGTGGAGACCCGACAGGACTCCATTGCTTTTCAGCCCTTCCTGGTGGGCCTTGGGCTGAAGGCCTCAGAAGTGAAGCAAGAGGTGGTGGCCAGACGTGAGAGCAGCTGCCCGTCTCGGGGCATGAAATCTCTTCCGGTGGATGCTGAGAGACAGGCAGACTTGGGTCGGGCCTCCACCACACACCCAGGGGCCACTCCCATGACATGATGGCATGTCCTGAACCTTCATCCCTGAAGGCGCTGAGGGAAGGATGGGGGACCTGCTCTCAGGACAGCCTAGGGCAGGATCCTGGGAGAGACGGCGAGAACGGTGAGGACAGGTAAATACTCCATCAGGCTCTGTTGTCAAGAAGACTGGACTCACAGGAACCAGCAGACCTGGGTTCCAACACTGACTGTGTGTCTTCTAGACTGCCGTCTCTTCCCTGTTCGTAGCTTCAGTTTTCCTATTTGCACAATGATGGGATTTTTTTTTAGGCTGTGAGAACCCTCTTCTTCCAATGACACCTCATGTGGAATCTTCCTGAGAGCAAGGAAGAGTGCAGCCGCTCTGGTTTGGAAGGAGGTGGGGCCAGCCTTGTGCCTGCTGCCTCTCCATCACCCCTCAGGTCAGCTTCCTGAATCCCACTGGGCGGGGTTAAAAGCCATAGTGGTGGACAGTCCCACGGACACTCGGCTCCACCGTCCCTGCCCCACGACCTGGGCAGTCTGTTGCCCACTGCCTGTCTGTGTGGGTTTCCTGGCCCCCAAGGAGTTGAGGGCTGTATTTCAGACCTCTAAATGAAAGGAACCCTGAACTCCTGTCTGTGAAAGAGGGACACTGAGGACCCCAGGGGCACTGGGCTGGGAAGCATCTCCATGGATACCACACAAAGCTGGTGTGATATCAAAGGGCATAATCCACAAACTGGATCCTCACAGGAGAGGGGTTAATCTAGAAAACAGCATCTACAAAGGGGAAAACAGACAAAGTGAGTTATCTACAGGATGGGTAATCTCAATAAATTAATCCACAAACTGGATAATCTACTGAGTGACGTACAAAGCTGTAATAGACAAAGCAGAAATCTGCAATGGTCATCACAGAATGAAATAGCTGAAGGTCGCAGTGCCCAGACAGTGCCCTCCCCACCACCACTCCCAAGGGCCACGGTGGTCCAGCCCCATCCGTTACTCACTCCGCCTCTGCCTCTTCCCCTTGATCCCCCGGCTGCCGGCGGCCAAATGCATCCAGCTCAGAACCAGGGCCACCACACACAGTCCAAGCCGCATAGTCACTCGCCGGCTCCAGGCCCCTGGTAGGAGGGGTGGTCTCTGCGGGGGTGGACGGCGCAGGGCTCTTGCTAACGCCTCCGGGGCTAGGTCAGCAGCAGGATGTCCAGGCCTGGGCTGTATCCCAAATCTGCCCTGTATTCCAAATCCACCATAATCTCAGCTGGGGACAGAGAGGGTGTGGGGAGCCTACTTCTCCATCAGCCCATAAAGAGATCCAGAGAGCTTTCCTCAATCAAAGGCACCTCAGGGTGTCACATGGGGAGAACTCTTTGTCACTTCAGCCAGGACACCTCCAAAAACCAACCTGTTGGGGGAGGAGAGAGAAGGGTTAATTCTGGGGTACCAGTGGGCCCCCTTGCCCTCCCATCTGATGCACTACCCAGGAGACAACTCAGAATGTTTGACCATTACAAGTCACCCACCTGGCACCCCTGTAGAAGAGACTGACTCCTTTTCCTATCTGGCAAAAGTCCCTGATGTGGGATGGGAGTTGGCTACCCAAGTAGTTGGAATATGGTGGACACTCAAATCAAAGTTGTGGATCACTGGAAACTGGCTGCCTGGCTTTCACCCTGCCCAAAGTGAGCCAGCTCTATCTGGAAGTCCTTCATTAGGTCTAGCCTACAGACTTCATGCTGCAGTAATATCATGACTCTTAAAGAGCAGCTCTCTCTATCCTTCAGCAAGTGACCCCTCAGCCTTCTCTCCCCAGTGCTGAGTCACCTCTGTGCCTTTCACCTGTCTGGAGCTAGAGCAGTGGCCCCCAACAAGCTGGCAGACCCAGTGTGGCCCTCCGGGCTTGGCGGGAGAAAAGGAAGTAAGGCTCCCCCCAGCCACAGAAACTCTGACACAGCAGGCCCGGCGGGCCCGGCCTTTGTGAGAGGATAAAAGAGGCAGCGATGCCCGCCCTGGCCAGAGACACAGAGAATGGGGATAATCCCCCAGCCCAGCGAGAGCCAGGTCTCTGGACCGCTGGCCCGGGCGATGGGGGCAGGGGAAACCGATCCCTCCCCAGTGAAATGTGTCTGGGAAGTTGGAACCCAACCTGGGAGTCAGGAGATGAAAGCCCACTTCCCACTCACAGCTTGCTTCACACTTTCACAATGAGGCCTGCACATGCACTGGCCTACACGCTTGCTGCACAGGCACCCATACTCATACAGGGATGGGAGGAAACAGCAAGTCTTCAGGAAGCTTTGGAGACGCCAGGGCAGCGTCGCTCTCCCACTGGCTGGATAAGATGCCTTTGAAAGAATCCCTTAGCCTCTCCATTTCCCCATCTATTAAATGGGGATAAATATGCCTACTTCACAGGTTTGCTCTGAGAGTTGTCTGCCTTTCGGCCTAACTAATGAGAAAGTTGAAATGCTTGAGTGAAAGTGCCCCTCCCAACCGTGTCCCAGTCTTTCCCCCTTCGCCTCCAGGGAGGCCCCAGGGGAGCCCACCTGCATGGGAGATAAATCATTATCCCACGAGGGAGTTCAGCAACCCCTCCTCCGTCTCTCCCACTGGCTTTGAAGGCCAGACACACTCAAGTGGTTAAGCTGCCTGTGAGAAGTGTTTACACGAGACTGATGGATCCCACCTGGAGCCGTGGCCGGAGCCTGTGGAGATGCCCCCAGCCACCCCCCAGTGCCCCGTCAGCTGCCAGCCCCCACCTGCCCCTCCAGTACTCCTTGCGTGACCTGCCAGAACCTTCCCATCTGCCCCAGCCCCCACCACACTCTTCCACCACCCACAGATTACAGACGTCCGGCCGAGTGTATCAAACTGGGGTCTTCAGCCCCCAGTCCCAGAGTCTGGCCGTAGACCATGATGGTTAAGGGCGTAAAATTCAGAGTCAGGCTGCCTGGCTTTGAATGTTGCCTCTGCTACTTATTAGCTGTTACTTTAGCCTAGTCGCTTAGCTGGTTTGAGCCTCAGTTTCTTTATCTACAGGAGAGTGGTGGTTGTTTTTATAGCTTAAATGAGTTAATATATGAAACTGCTTAGAAAGGTGCCTGGCACACTAGGACTCAATAAATGTTGCAATTTCTTCGACCAAAACTATATTTTGTGTCTACATTCCAGTGGTCATGTAAAAAGCAATAAGACAGTTTTCATACCGCCTGGATACCAATCGTAACACTGAGCACTATGATGCAATTTCCATATTTGCATTTATCTTTATGGTTGATTGCCTTGGCCCCAGGGATTGCTCAGAGTGATACGGTTAACCTCTAATGCTGGCCTTTCTCACACTAAGGTCTGAGGACCCCTGGCAGATACATTCTCAGGGTGCCCTGAGTCTTTCCACCTGACAAACACTGAAGGAGAAGACCACATTGGACAAAGCTGGTGTTAAATCCTGGGTCTGTGAGGCTTTGGTCTCACTGTATGCCTGGGGTCCTGGGCCAGAACAGATCTATGCGTCTCTGCACTCCATGTGCCTGCAGGGCAAGGCGCCTAGCACTTCCGAGTCAGTTCAATTGAGTTCAGTTCAGTCACTCAGTTGTGTCCGACTCTTTGCAACCCCATGGACTGCAGCATGCCAGGCTTCAGGGCTCAGCAAAGGCTAGCACCCTTCCTCCCCTACCCTCTACTTCCCTCTGAATTCCCCCTCAGTCCTCCCCGGTCTTAGCTTTCAGTCTGGCCCCTGCCAGGCCACCCAACCCTTGCCAGGGAGGCTCTTCAGACCCACTCCCACCTGTATCCCCACCTATCTCAGCAGGGAAGTGGAGAGGAGGCTCCAGATCTGAATTCCACTGGAAAAGTGGCTCTGGCCTTCCTCGACCATCACGGGATGGGATGAGTTTCAATACAGAATCAACTCTCCAAAGGGGTTGTGTTCACTCTGTCAGGGATACAAGCAACAGATGGGAGGGACGCAGAGTGTGGAGGGGGCAAACTGGAAGACAAATGCCCCATCTAAAGGGAGCATCTGCTGTTCCATTCCAGCTTATTGTTGATGGGCGCAAAGACTGGCTCCACATAACTAGATCTTCTGTTTTTTTTTTTTTAAGTTGAAAACTCTGGATTGCATGTGATATCTGATTTTAAAAGCAGGACAGGTCTCAGACTAGAAACATCGCAGTAGCAAGCCTCAGAAGATCCCAGGTCTGACTCCACGTCCCTCCAGAGAAGAGGTTCCCACCCTCTTCACCCCCACCCACACACGTGCAGTGGTACACACATAGACACCCACAGCGGGGCCACAGCTGAAAGAGGGGATAGGAGCTAATGACTTTCTTTTAAGCAGCCGGCCTCATTTCTATTGGTTCCTCTGGTTGATTTCCTCTGCCCCCTGGGCTACAAGGCACAGGCAGGTTCTTTTGGGAGGCCCATCACTCTACACCGGCAGAGCCAGCAATAGGAACTGCTGGCAGTGATCACGGTCTCAGGCATCCGTGGGGGTGAGGAAGGGCACTTTGTCTCTGCCAGGGTTGGGGTGAGGGATCCACATTCATGGCATGCTTGCACCACCTGCCACGCGGGAGGTTCTCATTGACTCCTCACCACCACGCTAGGAGGAAAGTACAGTTAGTCCCACTTTATGGAGACAGAAAGGTTAGGGTCTCGGGGTGATAAACACAGTCAGTGAGCTGCTCAGGATTTGCTGCTCAGACTGGACTCTGGAGGGCAGAGCAAGAGGCAGGGAGCTGAGAGGTGTAGGGCATGACCCAGCTTGAGGAAGGAGTGGGAGGCAGGGGCAGAGCTGGGGCCAAGGAGAGAGGCCCGCCTACTAGGTGGTCCAGGAGGGGAGGACACACGGGAGAGGGGGACACAGCTGAGGGGTGGGGCGCAGGGCGGAGACTCAATGCCCCCAGAAGTTTGCAATAACTTTCACCTTCTTCCCTGCAACACTATTTGGATAAATTGGTACTCGGTCCGGGGCCGGATACAGACCCAAAAATGTAAACCATTCCGATAATTTCTCATTAGCTTTCCCCAGGATCAGCTACGGGTGGAGAGGACCGGCCAACGGGGGCAGAAGAATTGCTGGGCTGGGGGCGGGCCCAAGTATGTGCCCGCCCGACATGTCGGGATTCGTGTGTCCGCCAGAGCCTGGCCAGGTGTGGGGGTCGAGCCAACCCCCGCCCCGCAACACCAAGAGGCAGCGGGGAAGGGTTCCTTCACGTCCCTGCAACACGACTCCAAGCGCTCAAAGTCTTCCTCTCTATCATCTAGAGAGGCCCAGCAGGTGCAGGGGGGCGGGGAGGGGGAGGTGGACCTGAAGTCCCCCAGCTGACCCCTCCCCCCCGCCCCAAATCCAAGAGGACTCTCCAATTCTGAGAGGCGGGCTTCACTAGAAAACCCCTGCCCCAAGCGCGCGACCTAGCCCTCCTGGAAGCCCTGGGTTAACACACAGCGGCCACCTCTCCCCAACCAAGCAAGACCGTCCCTCGGCGCCCGAACCCTCGGGACAGTGAACCGCGCCGCCTCGCAGCGTCCCGAGGGGCGCAGCACACACTGTCTGCCACGTCGGACCCGGGCCCGGGCTGCGGCACTGGGGGTTATGGGGATGGTAACCGGGAGCCGTGGGATTCGGGGGAGTCCAAGGCGAAGACACCAGGAAACAAGAGCTTCTGCTTCGGGGGTTTGGGGTGGGGGCCGGTGGAGAATAGGTCTGGTGAATTTGGGGAGTTCGGAACTCCGAGCGAGGACGATCGCAGGGGGTTGCGGGGTTGAGGGCAAACCGGTGGCGGCATTGCCAGGAGGCTGCTCCTAGCTTGAGGGATGCTAAGGGTGGGGGCGGCATGACTTGCAGAAGGGGCCCCAAAAGGTGCCCTCTTCCGCTCTCGCTGATTCGAGAGCAGTCAGAAGTCCCCTGACTCTCACGGTCTCCCTCTACCCCGGCACTCATCTCGGCCAAGCCCGGATGAGAGGGCCCAAGGCGCCCCAGGTCCCAGGGGAAGGGGGCGCTAAGGAGGAGGACGGGGCAGCTCCCGGGGGGACTCACCTCCGCGCTGCCAGCCGCGGCGGGGGCAGGCCCGGGAGGGGTGAGGGCGCGGCCGGCTCACCCGCCCGCCGCGGAACTGTCCTGGGCGCCCGGCGCGCCCGCGCTCCGCCCGCCGGTTTCCAAGTTGCTCAATCTGCGGGCGGCTCACGCCCTCCGGGGCCAGCGCCCCACCCGGCGCATCGGTCCTCTGGGGCAGCCCGGATCGGCCCTCCTCTCCACAGTCCCCAGTCGGGCGATCCGCGCCGGGCTCTCCGCCCGCGCTGGGGCTCTCCGTTGCGCTTCGGCTCCGCCGGAGCTCCCAGCCGGGAGAGGGGCTAGTCCTCCGCGCGCACGAGGGAGGGAATCCCCCCCCTTTTCAGTCCCACCCCCGAGCCGGCCCCCCTTCCCGGGATCCGCAGCAAAAAACGGACTGGAGCGCCAGGCCTGGGAGTTCGTCGCCCCCCTCCCGCACGCCCTTGCCTCCGCTGGGGCGCTGCGCTCGGAGCGCAGGGCTGGCAATTGCACCCTTGGTCTGGACTCTGGGGCAGAGCCTCTATCCTCCCTCCTCTCCTTCCCCAACCCTGCATTCCCAGCGATTCCAAGCTGCCAGAGCACCGGCGCTGCTGCAGGCATCCTGGGGTCAGAACAGGCCCGTGAGCCTAGCAAGATCTCAGTTTCCCCATCAGGAACATGCAAAGTGACAAGAACAGGCTCCGAAGGAGTCTGGGGTCCCGTCCACAATCTCCTCTTAGCAGTCAACTCTTCAGAGCATTTTCCCAGTTCAGACGAAATGTGAGGCTCTAACCTCCAGGGAACCCAGGTGAGGACCCTCCACTGGGAGCTGGTGCAGGATAGCCAGGTAGATCTTGAAGCAAAGCCTAGATACCAAATCCCTGCTCCAACACTTACCAGCTGTGTGGCCATTCCTAAATTACTTAACGTCTCTGAGCTTCAGCGCTCTCATCTGTTTTGAGAGGTGGTGAAATGAAGGATGCAAATGCCAGGTAGAATGGTAGGCACCCTGCTAATGTTTGTGGAATGGGTCTTGAAGGGCAGCTGACACCTGTAGTGACCCAGATGCTGTTGAAGTCAAGCCTGAAGGGGAGAAGGAGGGAGACTCATTTCTTGGGGGTGGCAAACAGCTGTTCTTCAGCGTCACTTCAGATTGGGTAAAGGGAACTAGGCTTAAACTGTAGTTAGCAGGAGTTAAGTTAGAGCAGAAAAGCTATACTGATGCGGGGAGTGGGGTGGGGGTGGTGGTGAGTAATCAAGACAGGCTGTGGACTCTCCTTCTCTGGAGAGGAAGGGGGAGCCCTGACTATGGAGACAAGGGCACAGGGCCGTTCACAGTGACAGGGGGATGGATGGAATGACCTCTGTTGTATTATGATGGGCAGACAGCAGAGATGGTGGATGGAGGGCCAGAAAAAGCAGAGCAGTACCAGGGTCTGGGCTCATTCGATCAGATCCTTGCCAAGTTTGCAGGGGGCAAACAGCCATTTCTGAGTTTGGTCCTGGGTCCCATCCACCACCACCCCAAGCCCCAAGCCCTCCCCCCTACCCTCAGCCTCTCCCCCATCTCACCGGCCCTTGGCCCTGCTCTGTGCCTAATCAAACAGCCCCAAATGCTGAAAACTCAATGTTTATTTTATTTTATTTTTTTACACACTTGCATAACTCCCTGACAAGCCACGCCAGGCGTTGGGCTTTTTGTTTGGTTTTATTTTGTTGCATTTAGGGGGAAAAAAAAGAGAGAGAGAGAGAGAGAGAATGAATAACACAAACCACCCAGCCCTAGAAGCTGTCCCAGGCCAGGCAGTGGGTCGGGTTTCCTGCCTGAGGAAAAGTCTGTGGGAGTTGGGGAGGGGGGGCTTGCTACTAGGCTCAGGAATGAGCAAGAAAGGGAAGAAAGCCACCTGGGTCAGAGAAGATAATGAATTAGAACCATGTGACAAAAATGGATGAATAATAAAGACCATTTCTTGTGCACCTAATATATGCCAAGCACTGTGCTTTGCATCTAAATTCTGTTACCTAATTTTGCAACCATTTTACTTTCTTTCTTTTTTCTTTTTCTCACAAATGTGAATTCGAAACCTCAGAGACATCAGGTAATTTGCTCAGAGACAAACAGCCTGTAAGTGGCCAGTCCAGTTTTCACTATGTTAAATGACTTGTAATTTCCCTGGAAGTGTCATATTGCCCTGAGTTTGTCTATGCTGGTCTTTGCCTAGAAAGGCCTTCTCTGACCTTTCTCTTACCAGCCTTCAAAATGCCTACGTGAAGTTTCACCCAGCCACCTTGCACGTCCACCTCAGGACCTCACGCAGATCTTTTCGTCACTCATCACTGGCCTGCAATTATCTCTCTCCCACTGCAGTGTGAGCCCTATAAGGACAAATGTTGCATCTGATTCAGCCTTATGATCCCAGCACCACAAGCATACTTAACTAATGTTTGGTATGGCCATGATTGCATCTTTTATAGTTCCTACAAGCTTATTCAGATGATCTCCCAGGTCATTATTGCTATTAACCCAGGCCAAGGTTATCATTCTTATTAGAAGACCTAAGGTCAGTGGGCTCAGGTTAGGGCAGTAGCTCCTAGAGATTAGTGAAGTTCTTCATAATTCATGTCATCCTCTGCCAGGCAAGAACTGTTCTACCACCTGCAGTGTCGTTATCAATATACTTTCAGCTACAAGTAATAGAAGACCAACTCACAATGTTAGACAGCAGGATGGTGTATTATCTCATGCATCAGGAAGAGCTGAGGCGGGAATGATCGAGCAGTTGAGGAGCCACACACATCAGATTCTGTCCTCTAGTCTCATTCCACCACCCTCAGTATCTTGGCTACTATCCTCATGATCCCAAGATGGCTGTAGCAGCTCCAGACACTGCATCTTCAGCCAAGTCCAGCAATCACTTAAAGAGTTATGTGGCATTGAAAATGGTTAAAAGGATAACATTTGAGTTGTTTTATCCCAATTAAAAAAAGTTAAAGGAGCTAACTGGATCACTTGCCCACCACTGAACCAACCACAGACCAGAGGGATGATTCTACTAACGTTAGCATAGACCCATCAGGATTTACTTGAACTATGAGGAAAACAGTGCTCACAGACAAAAGCAAAACTGACAGCTCTGAAGAAGGGGAGATAGGCTTTTGGGTAGGCAACCAACCTACACAGTGTGATCACACTGTGACTCAAAGAAAAGATGACTTTGTTATTGTCAATTTATTGCAGACTTTCTTGCAAACCTTAGTCTCTGTGACCCCATTGTTCTCCGAGATTGTGTCTTCTGTCTCTCTTTCATGGAAGCAATATAGGATAGTGCTTAAGTGCACAGACACTGGAATTAACCTTATTGGAGTTCAAAACCTACCTCTACCACCAACTAGCCCAATGTCCTTGGGCCAGTCACTTCACCTCCCTGAGCCTCAATGTCCTCATCTGTAAAATGGGTATAGAAACACTATGCCCCACCACAGTTGTTATGGGCCTAATATAAGGTGATGCATTTAAATAAAGAGCTCATGGCAGGACTTCCCAGGTGGCCCAGTGGCTAAGACTCTGCACTCCAAACTAAGACATGGCACAGCCAAATAAATAAATTAGTTCAGTTCAGTTCAGTTCAGTTGCTCAGTCGTGTCCAACTCTTTGTGACCCCATGGACCACAGCATGCCAGGCCTCCCTGTCTATCACCAACTCCTGGAATTTACCCAAACTCATGTCCATTGAGTCGGTGATGCCATCCAACCATCTCATCCTCTGCCGTCCCCTTCTCCTCCTGCCTTCAATCTTTCCTAGCATCAGAGTCTTTTCCAATAAATTGGCTCTTTGCATCAAGTGGCCAAAGTATTGGAGTTTCAGCTTCAACATCAGTCCTTCCAATGAACACTCATGACTAATCTCATTTAGGATGGACAGGTTGGATCTCTGCAGTCCAAGGGACTCTCAAGAGTCTTCTCCAACACCACAGTTCAAAAGCATCAATTCTTCGGCACTCAGCTTTCTTTATAGTCCAACTCTCACATTCATACATGTCTACTGGAAAAACCATAACCTTGACTATACAGAACTTTGTTGGCAAAGTAAGGTCTCTGCTTTTTAATATGCTATCTAGGTTGGTCATAACTTTTCTTCCAAGGAGTAAGCATCTTTTAATTTCATGGCTGCAGTCAATATATAAAATACAGAGCTCACACAGTGCTAGGAATCATACTGACTACTTAGTAATGCTAGTTTTTATAATTAGCTGTAATTTTGTCCTGTCGTTTATAAGTATTAACTGCTATTTTATCTCAGGCATTGGGCTGGGAATGGAGAACAGATAAATGAATATCAAGGAATTCCCTGCTGGTCCAGAGATTAGGACTCAGCACTTTCACTACAGTGGTTCCGGGTTCAATCCCTGGTCAGGGAACTAAGATCCCACAATCTCCATGGTGCAACCAAAAAGAGAGAGGGAAACAGGTTTTATACTATCTTTCTAAGGTGCTTCTGGTCTAGTTGGGGATACATTTATGAGACCAAGTAGATGAGAAAGACAGATGGCACAATGAAAGGGGCAATCGTGACTCCTTGAGGGCATCAGAGAAGCTTCTCCAAAGAGGAAATTCTTGCTTGAAAGACTTGGCATTTTCTAATCATGTGAGAATGTGAGATTAAAAAGGTGTTCTAGGCAGAGGGAATGGTGTGTGCAAAGGCCCAAAGACCTGATGGATCATGGTGCCCTTAGAGGCATAAGTCATCCTGCTTTGTAGGGATTTAGGGTGAGAGAGGTGAGAAGTAGGGTAGCAGGTAAGATCCTTCCAGAAGGGCCTTGTGTACCATGCTAAAGAGCAGGGACTTCAGCTCAAGGGCAGTGGGGCTTATGACATGGGTAAGAGGCAGGATGGAGTTGTACTTTAGAAGAAGTGCCTGGCAGCTCTTTTGTAAAAAAAAATATTTATTTTTTGAATATTTATTTTTTGGCTGCATGGGTTTTAGTGGCAGCACACAGGATCTATAGTTGTGGCATTCAAATCCTTCGTTGTAGCTTGTGTGATCTAGCTCCTGGCCGGGAATCGAACCTGAGCCCCTTGCATTGGAGGCCCGGAGGCTTAGCCACTGAACCACCAGGGAAGTCTCTGGCAGCTCTGGTGAAGGCTGGATTTGAAGCTGAGAGCCTGGAGGGGGTTAGCAGCCCCAGTGAGAGAGGGTAAGGAGGGAAATGCCCGAGAACACGGCTCTGCTCCTCCTCTTTCCTTGCTCAGCCCTCCCTGTCTGAGGCCCAGTGTGTCCTCTGGAAGCCCTCTCCCAGCACAGGCCCACCCTCCCAGAGTCTCTGAC